TTAATTCATTCTAAGCACAATATATCTTAAGTTATACATAATTTTACTAAAATATATTTACATATCTAAGACAACACCCACTATATGCAAATAAGTAATTAATAAAAAATTATATATTTTAAAATATTACAGTTGAATTCAGAGATGTAATTCAGTTTATCCAAATGATAACTAAATCAACCGTAAAAACAACAAAATCGACTAGATATAACATATATAAAATTAAAGTATAATTAAAGTAATATAATATTATTAATATAAATGATACATACAAATTATAAATTAATTTAAAATTAATACTAAATAGTAATCAATTATTATCATATACTTTAAAAATATTTATACCCGTGCATGAGCACGGGAAAATCACCTAGTGTTAAAAAAAGTGTGGATAGTTTCAAGTAAAAGCTATTAAGTTTAGAATTATCTATACTGTTAAAACTGAAATACCTTTTGAAAATAATTTTTCATCGATCATAATAATTATAACTTATGCCACTCATTTAATAATTATTAGTAATTAAGTATAAATAATTTATTTTGTAAAACTATTCTCTAAGCCAACTTAACATTATTCTCTAACTAGAATATCTTTTAATCTATGTTTACTATAAAAGGAAACAAATTTATTTAAAATATAACATACAAAGTTTAGATATTATATATTCATGATATTATTTTTTCATTTCATATTCACAATATAAACTGTAAATTGTTTTTAAAAAAATATAGTTATTTTCAAATATATGTTAAAAATAAAATAATTACATTAAATTTAATATTTTCTCAAAAGTAAACATAAAAGAAATTTGATTTGACTTATAAAAGAAAACTTAAAGAGATATCTATTTATTTATTAAACAGAAGATCATTTATTTTGACATAAATATTTTATTTGGAAAGATAGATTTATTAAGATACACAAACATAATAATTGATATTTTAATTTCAATTTATTTGTAAATATATCAATAATGGTTAATGTAATTAAAAATTACTAATTGACGAATATGTTAAATCAATTTGATTGTGTTTAGTATCCAACCACAGTATGAGATACCAAAAAAATTACAGATAATTAAAAATTATCGATCTATCATAAATGTTATATAATACAAATCAAGAATAAACATCGATATGGATACATATTTGTACAATTATTATATTTTTGTGCTATAAAATTTTTTCTATATTTATTCTATTAAAATGTATGGTCAAGTTCTAGTTAGTGTTAAAACTAAAGTTACTTATGCTCAGAAATTAGGAAGTCGAATTTTCCTTTCTTCGTAGTTACTTCAAAAGAAAAAGAACAAAGACGAGCGAGGAATAAAGAAAAGAAAAGAGAAAAGAGAAAGATAAGATATTTGATTATAAGCAAGGTATAACAAACCTGTAGTATAACATTATTGACACCTGATGGTCTTTGTTTCTAAATCAAGACCACAAATACTTTAGAAAAAACAAAAAACTTTGTGGAAGAACGTTCACTAGCCTTGAACTGTCCCACGTGAACTAAACTAGTTTCGGTCTGACAAGATGGGTGATATGTTTCCACCACGTTTGAAGAAGTTCTGGGACAAATGGAACATTCGTGGAATCATAATCCTTAGTCTCTTCCTCCAAACAATCCTTATCTTCTTTGCACCGAGCCGAAAACGCACAGCAAACAAGCTCTTCCTCGTGCTCATATGGTCAGCTTATCTTCTTGCTGATTGGGCGGCCGATTACGCTGTGGGCCAGATCTCAGACAGTCAAGAAGAAGCTGTCGAGGAACACGACAAGACCCGCGAGCTGTTAGCGTTTTGGTCACCGTTCCTTCTCTTGCACCTTGGAGGTCCAGACACCATTACAGCACTTGCCCTGGAGGATAATGAGCTTTGGGACAGACACTTGTTCAGTCTCGTCTGTCAAGCGGTCGCTACTGTCTACGTGATCTTGTTGTCCACACCGAACAGGCTTCTGACTCCAACGGTGATCATGCTCTTCGGCGGAGTGATCAAGTATTTCGAGAGAACAACAGCACTGTTCTCAGCGAGTCTCGACAAGTTCAAGGAATCTATGCTCAATGATCCTGATCCTGGTGCTAACTACGCGAAGCTCATGGAGGAATATGCAGCTAAAATGGATATGAATATACCAACGGAGGTCGTTTTTGTGGAGGATCCAGAGAAAGGGCGTGAAGGCAATACTCCTGTTAAACCCAACGATGATCTGACCAACCTTCAAGTTGTTCAGTATGCTTTCAAGTACTTTAACATCTTCAAAGGTCTCATTGTTGATCTTATCTTCACTAACAAGCAACGCGACGAGAGCAGGAAGTTCTTCGACTCTCTCTCCCCAGAGGAAGCTCTAGGCATCATCGAAGTCGAGCTCAGCCTCATCTATGAAAGCCTCTTCACAAAAGCAGAGATTCTTCATAACTTGACAGGGTCTGTGTTCCGGGTTATAGCTCTAGCCTGCCTTGTCTCCTCACTCTGTCTCTTTACTCTTAAAAACGAGGCTAAATACTACGATGGATTCGATGTTGCTCTAACTTACGCGCTGCTCCTATGTGGCATAGCTCTTGATTCCATTGCTCTTCTCACGTTCTGTGTCTCTGACTGGACCATCGCTACACTGAGGAGTCTAAAGGAGGACCCGGATGAGAAAGACCCTTGGGCTTGGGGAGACGGATTTCTCAACTGGATCCTCGGTTTCAGGACCATAAGGTGGAAAGGATGTGAATGTTTCGTAGATGGACATGAAGTAACGAAAAAAAGACATGAAGTACTCGACGGGAACTGTATGTTTCGAAGATGGTCGGAGTATGTTCATGCTTACAACTTGATTGGTTACTGCTTGAAGATACGTCCCAAGAGAATCCATCCTACCAAGGGACTCTTACACTGTTTCACTACTCCATGCTCCTTCGGAACTCGCCAGTTTTGTAACTGGATTCACCGTACTCTAAGCAACTTGTGCAATTGCAATTGCAGCAACCGTCCAGTTAATTTTATTCGTCAACAGTTTGTACGTTTAATCAACAAAGTCCTAGAGACATTCGATCTCAAAGAGTTGGTCGAAGAGCTAAGATTCACAAACAGTGACCGACTCACCAAAGAGCTATGGAGGTTTATATTCGAACAGGTGAAACACAAACACCGTTTTGCTGAAGATCCAGAGAGTGCCACGAGTATATCTTCAGCTAGAGGAGACTGGACTCTAAATGAAACATCAAGCAAAACGACAGAAGGAGGACCAGACCATGCGAAGCTTCTGACATATGTGACGGAAAAGGATTACGACCAGAGCATCCTCATCTGGCACATAGCTACAGAACTCTTGTACCAAATCCCCATAGAAGAAAAAGAAGAAAAAAAAGAAAAAGAAGAAAAAGAAGAAAAGGAAGAAAAGAAAGAAAAGGAAGAAAAAGAAGAAAAGAAAGAAAAGGAAGAAAAAACAGAAAAAGAAGAAGAAGACACTAACCGAGAGTTCAGCAAAATCTTGTCTGACTACATGATGTACCTCCTTATCATGCAGCCTACACTCATGTCAGCTGTTTCCGGAATAGCAAAGATACGTTTCCTGGACACATGCGCAGAGGCAAACGAGTTTTTCGAGAGGAGGCATATCAATAGAAACAAGCATGATGAGAAAGACAACCCAGTGAAAGAAGCTTGCCGAGCTATTCGCTCTGTCAAAACATATGTTGAGCCTATAGATGTGAAAGGAGACAGAAGCAAATCTGTGCTGTTTGATGGAAGCGTGCTTGCACAGGAGCTGATCAAGTTTAAGAATGGAAGAGAGAACAACATGTGGGAGGTAGTGAGCAAAGTGTGGGTTGAGTTGCTTTGCTACGCAGCAACTCACTGTGACTCTCAAGAACATGCGTCTCAGCTCAGCAAAGGTGGTGAGCTTATTAACTTTGTCTGGTTGTTAATGGCTCATTTTGGACTCGGAGACCAGTTCCAAATCAACAGGGATGATGCTAGAGCCAAACTGATCGTGGCCAAGTGATTATTCCCAAAAAAAAAACTACATCAATAAATTAGTTTCTTTGTGTGATTTTTTTGAATTTTTACTTCCTTGAATAATCTGCACTTGGTAGTGTAGTCAACTTATTTGGTGCTTATTGAATATAAAAATCATCTCTTTTGTTAGTTTATTACCATTCATAGTGAACTTGACATTTTTGCGAGTGGTTTCGGAGACCTATCTGTTTTCCGGATAGATTAGACTTTCCATATTAATATTTAGTGTATATGAGATATGTATCATATTACTTAGGTAGGTTTTAGATATAGTTTTACTAAATATTTTGAAATGTTAAAGAAAAATAGAAATAAACTCTGTTATAAAATATAAAACTAACAATATAGTGGTATGTTGTACTTATATAAACGGTATATATTGTATACTAGGTGTTTTACTGCACCATGTGCAATGAGAAATTTTTTAAGCTTAAATTATGTTTAACAATAAATTTTCTTAATATTATAGATTTTATTATTTTTATCAATATTTAAATATAGAGTTGATTTAGTTAAACATTAAATTAATATAAAATAATTTTGTTTATTTAAATTTATATTTAAGAATATATATGTATATATTTAAAATTATAATCTTAGATAGATTTTTTACCCATTATATTGCTTAAATATATTGAATTAATGTGTATAAAACTAAGAAAAGTGATATAAAATTATATAACTATCAAATTTTTAAACTAAACAGTATTTACAAAATTTGTAGATATATAAGAAACTAATGATTTTATGATTAGAAATTTATATTTTCAAAATTGTAGCAATTTTAAAAAACTTTAGTAATACAAATTGTACAATATAAAAACTAAAATAAAATAAAATAATATTTCGAAATTTGTAATATTATATTTGAATATATTTATTTTAAAAATGATGTATGAGTTATTACCATATTTTAAATTTTCTACCATAAATAAATATCAACATTAAATGTAAAGTATGCGTTATTACCATATTTAAAAAGATTACCAAAAATATAAATTAACATTAAATATAATTATACATGTCATATTTTTCCATAAGTCATGTCATCAATTTTAGTAGCCATGTCATATTTTTTGTGAAACTGATTATGAAGATGACATGTGACAAAACCAGTTCACAAATAATATATAAGAGATTTTTAAAATATTCAAAATGAAGATGAGGAAGATAATGATGGTAAAATTTTTTCTTTATATATTTATAATTATTTTGTTACAGCCGTAATTGAATATATAAAAGTATAAAAAAACTGATGTAAGTCTACGATAGTATGGTAATAAGAACATTTTTATTTAACAGATATAATGTTAAATGTTTTCTAAATTATTTTCATTTCTGATATTTTCATGAAAAAATAGAATTAGTAAAATACAAACAAAATTAGCACATACAAACACAATAAGATTAGAAGCAAAAATTCTGACAAATAAAAGTGTACAAACACATACATACATACTATGGAATTATAGTTGCACATATTGAAAGTGTGAAATTGAGATATTTCACCTAATATATTTTTATCTTGTTGTGTTTGGTAAAAAAATAAATAAAATATTTTTGATATATATGCAATATTTGTAATATTTTAGGTTTATGATTTATAAAAACGTGAATTACATTGAATTTTTTCTAGGTATATGCTTTTGCATAAAAAAAATTACTATCAGATTATTATTATATTTATATATATTTTAAGAAGTTTCTGCAAACCAAACTGGTAACTTTGCATCCATATAAACAACGAATGACGTTTGTTTCCTAGCACTTCGCGCCAGATTGTCCGCCTTTGTGTTCATCGTTTGGGGATATGAATGTTCTCTGAGTGATTAACACTTCCTTGAAGAATCTTGATGTCTTTCGAATAATTCACAAATGCTGGTTATTCCTTAGGTGCAGAAACTATCTTCACCTATTGAATACTATCAGTCGCAAAAGTAACATGGCATTGACGTAAGTTTTTCATAGCTTCGATTTCCGAATGTAAGGGCGAGAGGCTTGCTCTCGTGTTCTTTGCTCCCATTAGTCCCTCAAAATCTTGTAGCATACTATACCAGTACTGTCCCAAAAACGGCTCTTGCGCTTTCCATGTCCGTAAAACAACAACGATCAGATATTGAAGGTAAAATAAACTCTACCGTCTCTCGCAATTGGATAGTTTTACTTGTGACTGGGACCTGCGCTTCAGCCCAATATAAAGATCCGTCTCTACCAGTTTTAGAATATCTCTAGAATCAAGATCAATATTACTAAACACCTTATTGTTCCTTCTTTTTCAAATGTACCATAAGATCCATGTGAATTGATGCTCGTCTGTATACGAGGACGTCCTCCAATATAGATAGTCCATGTTTGTAAACAGCGCATGGGAAGGGAAGACGTCTGGATTCGATGGTACCTTTTAGATGGCTCATACTTAGACCGCCATAGAACATTCAAAAAATACATGATTAATTAATGCCTCGCTTGCTGTACATCTTGCACACTGAACATCACCTTGCATACCCCTATTCCACAATTTTTTCTTTACTGGTATACAACCTGATACCAACAGTCATAGAAATTGTTTTATTTTGGCGGGCAGAAACTTCCACGAATATACTTTTAAAGGGGTGACCGTGGGTCCAAACACCGGCAGAAATCTTTTTTATTTGGGTATATCCGTTCCACATGATATCATGATTTTACCGTATATCTCCCATTAGTAGTGAAATACCATACATCTTGATCCACCAACTGATGTCTACTTAATGGTATGCTTTCTATAATCTTTGCATTCTCTAGCTCCACCAATGATCGAATTACTTGAGTGTTCCATGTGCGTGGTGATGAATTAATTAGTGAATCCACAGAGAGATCCATGTAGCAATTTTGATAATTACTATTTGTTGGCCTCAGACGAGTGGTTGGGAGCTAATGATAATTTTATATTGATATAAATGATTCTGATCCCACCATTTTGATTAATCCTTTGCTAAACAGAGATCTAGCTGAAATGATATTGTGACATCCGTAGGATGGGAAGTATGAATAGATCGGTTCAAAAATCGAAGCATTTCTGAAATACTGTCCTTTAAAATCTCGAGAAAATATCGTGTTGGATTTTTTGATCAAATGCATAATTGTTTCCTTAACATAAATTCGAAAGGTCTTTGAACCCCAAATTTCCTTCACTTTTACCGATGCTGAGTTTGTATCAAGATTTCAAATGCATACCTCTTGTATTTCCTCATATAATATATATATATATATATATATATATATATATAAGGAAAAATACTATTAATCATTTATAAGAAAAAATTACATGGTATTTTTTTTTTTATCTTAAACCAATATATTTTATTCTTATAAATTATCTCCATTGCAATTAATTATTTTTTAAACAATTACTACCCTTAAAATAGTTACTTATAAGAATTTTTTAACAACGCTCTTTAGTTTATAATTTTCAAAAGGGGAAATATTAAATATTTTTAAGAAATATTTTTTTTGTAATACTTTTTTTTGTTTATAAATACAAATTTATCTTAAAATGTAGTATTTTTATTTTACAATTATCTTAAACCATGTCTATTAAATAATAAATAATACTACATAAGAATCATAAATATGTAAATTTAGCTTTCTTTTATATTTTTAAAGTTTTACTATTAAAGTATATTGGTCATGATCTTAAATCCACATCTTTTATAAAATAAATACTATTATTAAGCGAATTCTTCCCCTTTCATAAATTTTTGGTTAAGGTTTTCTAAAAAAGTAAAACATCTATTAAAATAATATCTTTTATTTTGTAATTATCTTAAAATCACTTATTTTTTTTAAAAAAATACTACTGTTAAATAACTAATAATACATATTCTATCTCTACTATTATTTGCGTAGTGATTTTTCGCATCCCAACTCTCATGTTGAAATTTAGAGTGGTTAATATCGTTTATACCTTCAATGGCTTCAATTGGTAACCACAATTTATGAAAATAATGATGATGAAATTGTTGTTCCTCAAAATTGGTATCAGTTAAGTTGAATTTTCTGTCAGATTATAAAGTCATGAGTCCCACTTTATTCTTCTCATTTCCTCATGAAAGAAAAAATTCCTTCTCTATTTTCTATGAGGAATGGAATGAACATAACTTCATATATTTCTGACTTTTTCATTTCATCGATTGAATATTTGTTCATTATATTTTTCATTTTTCCTTTCAATTTAATGGTCACCAATTGAAGCCAATGAGTAAAATATATTAATTACCATAAATAAAAATGAATTAAAAAATTATTTGATTAAAATTAATAAGACTGAATTATCCAAAATTAAAAAATATGTATTAAAATTAAAAAAAATAATCTTTATACATATTATGTCATAATTTCTAGCTAATGTGAGTGAAATTATTTTAAAGCTAAAGTCATTAGTTACATCCCAACCAACCATACATTAAACTAAGACAAAATTGAAATCATTTAGACAAACATGACTTACAACATATATTCACTCAAATATGTTTAAAACAACTTAATTTTAGTAAATAAAATTGAAATCATTTAGAATTTTTTATATTTACACGATTTCAACTTATTTTCCATAATTTTTTTAAAAAAAATTTATAACTTTTTTAAGATTAAATAACCCGAGACGACTTTGCAGGGTACAATCGTAAAAGTGATTACATGTTTTGTTTTAGTCATAAGAAAATGATTGTAACTTCATTGTTATTTCAGGTTATTTTGTATTTGATCAAATTTGAGATACATTTTTGTATTTAAAATCAACGTTTTAGTCATTTTTTTGGCAAATTTCCCAAATTAATTTATATGCTTCAGGTTAACTTTAAGTTGAATTTTATAACTATTTTAGTTATTAGTAGTTTTTCAAAATGTATATTTTATAATCAAAATCGTTGGTATACTTAGAAGTTATTCACAAGTGGCGAAAATTCGGTACTATTATTAGTCTTGTTATATTAATTATTTTAGTGATTACTTTCTATCAAAATACTATTATAATTTTATTTACTTTTATTAGACTATTTCTGATTTGTTTTAAGAAATTTTTCACTTCGCTCAGAATATTTTTCACTTCGCTCATGCGTAAAAGTTAAGTTGTTAAACAAGGAAAATATTTGCACCATTATAAGTAACGTGTGTGCAAGACTAAAGTGTAAATTTCTTGATTTTATTATCAACAAGGAAAGAATATTTTATTCTGACACAAAAAACAATGATTAAAGTTAGCGTGGAATATAAGAAAGGAATGCAACAAGGGCGAAAATAATTCACGTGGTATTGAACAGCTTCATTTAAAATCTCCAGTCAAATATTTAAATATTTATTAACAATTATTCTAATCCTCTAGTATATATTATGTACCCTGAATGAGAAACATGCAACTTAAATTTGATACTTAACGAGCTTAAGTATTTTCAGACAACCACAAAAAAGAGAGTAAGAACAGTATGCGAGTGATACCACCAGCAGTCAAAGAGATCTTAGACAAATGGAACATCAGGGGACTTGTAATACTGTCTCTGGTGTTCCAAACGTTTCTTATCTTCCTTGCACCGCTGCGAAAACGTACATCGAAGAAGCTGCTCGCTAAGATTCTATGGACTTCCTATCTTTTAGCGGATTGGACAGCTAATTACGCGGTGGCTCAGATCACGAAGAACCAAGGAAAGGAACCAAAACCCGATGATCCTCCGAAGAACAAGAAGCTACTTGCTCTGTGGGCACCGTTCTTGTTGTTACATCTTGGTGGTCCGGACACGATAACTGCACTGGCCCTAGAGGATAATGCCTTATGGGCACGTCATTTCTTTGGCCTCGTATCTCAAGCACTTGCTGGTAAGTATGGTTGGATACGATTTGAATATTTGAACATAATTTATTGGATATGTCCATTGCATATTGAGGATATATAGCAGGGTTACCAAGTAGACAAGTAACCAATCACAAATGCAAAATAGGCGTGTAGTAAATTAATAATATCACAACCCTCTAGTTAGGTTTTAATGCGGTCTTAAAGCATTATTACTCATAAGTACATCATTAGTAGTGTAGTATCTCCATTTTAAATGTGATGCAGATTAAAAAATGCAGTTCAAGTAAATCAAACTAAATAATGCAGATCAAATGCAAATCAACTAAATTATACAAAACATATATATTTATTTATCAAATAAAATTACTAAGTTATAATATTTGATTGAATATTAGAAAAATAAAATAATTAAAATTAAATATCTAAACTAAAGTTACAAGTTCTTAATTATAAATAAAAATATAAATTACCAAATAACAGAAATGAGTTATTAAAAATATTATAAAATAAAAATAAAAATATTAATTATTTTAAATTATTTTAAATTATATAAATTATTATAAAGAATAAAAATAAAATAAAATATATATGTTTATCTATCAATGTAAATGTTATATATGATTTTGAGTGAAGCAAAACAAACTGGATGATACAAAAATAACATTTTAAATATATATATATATATAGTTTTATGTATATAATATGGCGAAAAATATATATAATTAGTGACCTAGCGGTAATCAAAGTTGATATATACACTTGCCATATTAACGATTTGGTTGGCAAGTCTCTCAAAAGTATTAATATGGCAAGTGTAATTAAAAAGTTAAAAGACTATTCGTAACACCCGCATTTTCCAAATAATAAAATAAATAAAAATGTTTAAAATCTCCATTTATTAAATCGCATAAATCATCTCAAAAATTCATAAATCCAAACTAACATAATAAATCTCAAAATATCGATAAAAGCATAAATCTGAAAGCAAATAGATAAAACTCCCAAAAGCACCAGTCCGAAAAGATCACACTCGATCGTCAGTATCACCTGAAAGGGGAAAGAATGACGGGTGAGTAACAAGGGAGTCACTCAGTGAGGTATGGGATGCTAAACACGCAAAACACTGACTTGAATAAATAGAACTCCCACTATGAAAGTTTAACTCTAATATGAACAAACACGACACCTAGAGCGCCCACAAAACAACCATGCGATGATAGCATACAGCTAATCCATACACCCCGCATACTCCTCATAAGGATATAAATATATACTCGAAGCGTCGCTAGTACAGTCTGTCTCTGTACCCCCGCCCAACCGTAGCGTCGAATGCAAACGTCTCTGCATCACGCCTCAAACAGTAGCGTCGAAGCTCAAACGTCTCTGAACTCACGCCCCACATCGTAGCGTCGAAGCCCGGACAGCTCCGAACTCACGCCCCACACATAGTCCCTACACATAACTATGTATACGTACATATATATATATATATATATATATATATATATATATATAGCATCACTTAGCATCAAACAATCCAATCCACAGTTGAATCCTCACCCCTAGTTCCGGTTACAATGAATAAACTACCAAACAAGACTCATACAGACTCAATTCAAACAGACGGATCAGGCTTTGAAATCTAAACTACGATAGAAAGAATTTTATACTGGTACGGAATTACCGGTGCTCAAATAGACTCCAAATCTGAAATCAGGGCGAAAAATCGAGTTAGAACGCCCTTCGAACGGTTAAAAATGGATAACCGGTGATCTGCTCAAAAAGTCAACTCACTGGTCAAAGGTCAACCCGGTCAACTCTGACCCAAGCCGGTCAACCCTTGACCAGATTAAAATCGAATTGAACCGTCGGTTTTCCCCTAACCGAATTTGATTTCAATTGGACCAGAACTAAATCAATTTCAATCCGATTAAACTCTAAACCAAAATCAATTTAATAACCAATCCGATTTACACCTAACCAGATCCAAATCAATTTAAACCGCAAACCAAAAACCAAACCAAAATCAATTTGGCCAAACCAGTTGACCGAATCGCGGCGTTGACTCGTCGAGTCAACTCGGCCGAGTCACCAGCGAGTCACCTCTTGTTTCATAAATCCACTATTGTGGTTGTTCTAACTAAAGAAAAAGACTCATCTAGTTTTTACTATTGATGCGGATGGCTTTAATTTCCAATGTAGATTAGTCTTTAGAATTAGTACGTAGTACTTCGAGTACAAACAAATTTTTAAATTTAAATTTATGTTTGTTTTTATTTACCACTAATATCGAATTTATGAAAATACTGTGAATTTTCTGTTTACAAATGGGTTGCATTAAATCATTTAAATAATAATAATAATAATAACCAATCCGATTTACACCTAACCAGATCCAAATCAATTTAAACCGCAAACCAAAAACCAAACCAAAATCAATTTGGCCAAACCAGTTGACCGAATCGCGGCGTTGACTCGTCGAGTCAACTCGGTCGAGTCACCAGCGAGTCACCTCTTGTTTCATAAATCCACTATTGTGGTTGCACTAAATGCATGTTTTATCGGTTCCAATTTGAATTACTCGCACCAAAAATCTCTTAATTTAAGAAACTTTGGTGTGAATTTTCAATTTTTAATTATTTACCAACAAAAATTTAATTGATTTCTGTACGAGAGATCTTATAATCCTTAAATTGTATATTAATATAAGGCTTGGGAAAAAAATTTGAACCCCAAAAACCGAATCGAATCTGATCTAAAAAGTAGTATTGAACGAAGCGAAACTGATTAAATATCTGAATGGATTCAGCAATTGGGTATCTAAAGAACCGGAATGAACCCGATTCGAACCGAAATATTTCAGGGTATTCGAGTATACTCGAATCAGATTTATATACTTGAATATATTAGCTATTTTTACATTTAATATCCAAAATGTATATGATATTTTGAAGTTGTCCAAAATATTTGAAATATATATGAATAGTCGAAAGTGAATATCTAAAGTAGCTAAAAATATTCAAAATGTATATGATATATGCATACTTAAAATATATTATTGATTCTCCATCCAAATATTCAGACAACCTAAATTTTATATTAAGTATAGGTATTTTGCCATATATTACTCAAATGTATATGTTATATATCATTTTTATTTTTAGATTTCAAGAAAATAATTTTAAACCGGTTATCGTAATCCAGGCCAAATTCGCAAAGATCTGAACTGAAACCGAATCAAAATTTTATAAATACCCGAATGGGATTGAAATCTTTAACCTCAAAAACCTAAAATCCGAATAGATCAGATAAAACCCGAATGGGTACCCAAACAATCATCTCTAATTAATATAATTTTGGATTGAAAGACTATTGGTGTTCTAAACTAAACTTAATAACTACATATGCATTAGTTATGAAGGCTTGCTAATTTTTTATAAAGACTTCTCTACGCCCCAAGTTTGTGTTATTATTTTGGACATCTCAAAAAAAAAAATTATGGTCTTTTGGTACTAAATTGACAAAATGATCCAAAGCTCGAGACTAAGAACATGATTAGTGAGGGATTTTTATCTGTGGGGTTCTTAGCGGAATTAAAAAATCGTCTCTTAACTTTAACTAAAAAATTAGGAACCAGCTCTTAAATAAGACATTTAAGAACTGATTCTTAGTTTTTTTTAGTTAAAAGTTAAGAGACGATTTCTTAATTTCGATAAGAACTCCCCATTAATCATGCTCTAATGGTGAGACATGTCACATGCAACTTCTATCTGAATTACTCACGTGGACGCATCAGATAGTAATAAATTATGAAAACTTACAATCAACTTAAAAACTGGGATGATACTAAACAAACAATTGCTTAGACCATCCACAACAAGGGGTCCTTAGGAAGAGTTTTTAGAAAAAATATTAATTTTATAATCAGTAGGTCCCATGAACGGTTAATGATTTTATCCTTAAAAAGCTTATTTAAAGATTGATCCGTACACTATTCACGGGCTCCACTGCCCACGTGGCAGCCCGCGAATGGTCAGTTTTCTTTTGAAGAAAAAATCTGAAATATCCTTATATAATCCGAAATGTACTTTTTTTCCCCAAAGACTCCCCTAAGGATCCCTTGTTGTGGATGCCCTTAATTATGTCTTATATATAAGTATATTGTTATAATTATGTATGATGATTCTCAGGTGTTTATGCGGTGGTGCAATCAATGGATAACCCTTTATGGCCACCAATAGCGTTACTATTCGTCACCGCAGTGATAAAATACATGGAGAGGACTTATGCACTATACACAGCGAGTTTAGACAAGTTCAAAGACCAAATGCTTAAACCAGCAGACACTGGTCCTAACTACGCTAAGCTCATGGAAGAATACGATTCAAGAAAAGAATCCAACCTCCCAACGGACATCGTCCTCATCGACGAGCCAGACAAGCACGATAGACCCCCAACACTTAAACCGGGACCAGATCCCTTAACCCATCTCGAAATCGTTCAGTACGGTTTCAAATTCTTCAACACTTTTAAAGGACTCGTCGTTGACCTAATTTTCAGTTTCCGTGAGCGTGACGAAAGCAGAGACTTCTTCAAAGAGTTGTCCCCCGAGGACGCTCTTAGGATTATTGAATCCGAGCTAGGGTTTCTATACGAGTCCATGTACACCAAAACCGCGATTCTTCATACGTATGCGGGTACTGTGTTTCGCATTATTGCGTTCGGATCGCTTATTTCTTCCTTCCTTGTCTTCCATTTTAGACCTAAAAAATCAGTGGAGTTTCATGGAGCGGACGTCGTGATTACCTACACTTTGTTCGTCGTCGGTATCGGTCTTGAAATCTCCTCTCTCGTCATGTTCTTGCTCTCTGATTGGATGTTCGCGGCATCGAGAAAGCTTAAGGATGACCAAGTGAAAGATAAGGGTTTCTTTAGGAGAAGCACAACTAGATTGCAAGCCCTTTTTCAAAAGAAAAACGATAAGGTTTATATCATCGACACTTTTCTCAACCGTTTGCTCGCGTTTAGGAAGCCACGGTGGACGATGTATCCATGCAGCGGAAACGGTACGCACGAGGTGCTTACGACGCCGTTTTTGTTGCGGAGATGGTCCGGTACGATCTACGGTTTCAACTTCATCGCATATTGTATGAAAGCTAAAGTCTTAAGAATCCACCGGAGGAGTGAGTGTGTGTGTAGGAGTGAGCGTGCGTGGGAGTTTGTGGTTTTTGTGTCCGACTGGGTGGCCAGAAGAGTCCAGGTCTTGTTTGAATGGATCAAAGATGTTGATAGTTCGGTCGGAATCTTCATCAAGAGATGGTCAAAGAAGAACAAGATGGTTTATTGCACGGTTTATCCGTTGTACTTGGTGTTCTCCTCGGTGATTCCTTTGGTGTTTAGAAAGCTTTGGGGTTACGTTGATCGAATCTTCAGCGTTGAATCTTTTCTAGACGAGATCAGATTCGTATCGAGCGAGCCAATGACGAAGAAACAATGGGAGTTTATTTTCAGTGAGCTGAAACATAAGTCCGAGTTCGCGGAAACGCCTGAATGTGCGAAGAAAGTGTCTTCTGCGAGAGGAGAATGGGCTTTACATGATAGCAAGTTGGAGGAGGTTGAGAGATTGATGCGTTATGTAGCGAATGTTGATTACGATCAGAGTCTTCTCCTTTGGCACATTGCTACTGAGCTATGTTTCCAAGACGAAGGAGATGAGGAGACGGAGAAGAATAGGAGTGGAGAGAGTTGCGATGACCGTGAGTTCAGCAAGATTATATCAGATTACATGATGTATCTGTTGATAATGCAACCTAAGTTGATGTCGGAAGTTGCGGGAATCGGGAATATAAGATTTAGAGACACTTTAGATGAAGCTAAGAGGTTTTTCAAAGGAAGACATTCCGAGAACCTGAAAGATATGAAACGAGGGAGCAAGATGATTTTATTTGTTAGTAACGACATTGAGCCGATGCATGTGAAGGGAGACCGAAGCAAATCAGTTCTTTTCGATGCGAGTATGTTGGCTAAAGAGCTTATGAGACTGGACGAGAGTAGTAGTAGTAGTAGTGGCAGTCATGGAGATGGGAAATGGAGAGTGTTGAGCAAAGTGTGGGTTGAGTTGCTATCTTACGCAGCAAGTCACTGTAAAGCTACAGAGCAGGTGGCGCAACTTAGCAGAGGTGGGGAGCTTCTGAACTTTGTTTGGTTGTTGATGGCTCACTTTGGTTTAGCTGATCAGTTTCAGATCAATAAAGGAGATGCTAGAGCTAAACTCGTTGTAGGCGAGTGATAGCTTCCTTTTTTCAAAAAAAAAATAAAGAATTTGTGTGTGTGTGGGTTTGTAGTATCTTTTGCTCTGTTTCAGATTTCAAGCAATGTTCTTTGATTTTGTTTGGATTCGAACCTTGATTAAAGACTCTTGACTCGGAGAAAGGGTATGGGATGGTGAAGTGGTTTGACTTCACAGTTCTAACATATATTTGTTTCATTCATTAAGTGCTTCTACAAGTCACTTGAAATTAGCAGTTTAGAGCACCTTTAACCCAAAATCAAAAAGAGGGTATTCAAAATTTTTCTTTTTAAATTTCTATTTTCCTAATTAAAAAAATCAAAAATAACCAATCGCGGTCGCGGGCTGCTATGTGTCAGTGGGATCCCCGAAATAGGGCAAACACTCAATAAACACAGCGCTTAATTTGGACTCTGAAACTCTAACGCTTGTTGCTTTTGTGGGATAAAGGTGATAAGCGATCCCCTAAACACCAGGGTTAAAGGTGCTCTTAGCCCAGTTTAGGTTTCTTCAGTACCAAAAAGTTCCATACCAGAAAACTTTTTTCATACTTACGAAATTTTGTTTGAAGTAAAAGTTATATAAATGATATAAAATATATGATCAGTTTGGCTCACTTTGGTTTAGCTGATCAGTTTCAGATCAATAAAGGAGATGCTAGAGTCGACAAAACTTTCTTTTTTTTTCTAAATTTTGATATAACTTTTACATTTAATTCAAACAAAATGATATAAAATATATTCTCGACTCCGCTCATTGCAGTTCCGGTCATTTTAGGTTTTGTTCGGTTATAGAATTGTATAGGTATTTGTGAAATATGTATGAACAGCAACCATGTTATACTTAGATTATGTTTCATAAAACATGGTTATGCCTTGACTTGATGAAATGACAATACTAAAAGAAAAAAAAAAATCAGTAGAGGCTCCACTATTCGAAATATTTAATTAATAGTTCACTATGATTCCACGCTATAAGTAAAAATTGTAAGTTTCAAATTCTAATAACATCCACGATAGGGGTTATCAACCTAAAATTCTTAATATATATATATATATATATATATATATGTATATATTAATATTAATATTAATATTTAATTATAGAATTCTTAATTTTTAATTAGATTTTCCGTGAAGTTAAAAATTTCATAATTAATTATTAGTATATATATATATGTATTTAAAAATTTTAGAGTGATAACCTCCATCTTAATAAAATAGCCATCGATTGATAAATGTGTTAATTTGGCATGAAAATAGACCAATATTTCCTTTTCCACGGGTGACTTTTATAAATGCAGCATGTGATATTATCCATTTTATCCTATCCTACATATAAGAATAGATAGTACAGACAAATCACAACAATAACACATTACAATGAAGAAAATGAGAAAGAAAAAAGAAAATACCAGGAAAAAAAAGATATAAAAGAGGGAATAAAGAATTGTTGTCTTACATATAAAAAGGAAAGAGTGAGAAATAAAGAAAAAGAAAGAGAGAGAAAAAAATGATATTGTATATTGTTTTTATATTTTATGTTTCTAAATAGAAGAGAATACAACAAAAGTCTGTCTCTTTTGAAAACAAAAATTTAACTATACTATATATATTTGTATAATAGTATAGATTTAATATCGTGTTTATGGAATATGGTAAAAAAAATTATAAAATATATGTTTGTTTTGGAAGTTTCAAAACATATTATGTGTAGAAAAAATGTATATTTTTATTATGTGCAATACATAGTTCAATAATTTTTTTAACAAAAATTTTTAAAAAATAAAAGTAGAAAGGAAATAGAAATTTGTAGGAATAAAAAAGAAAATTAAAAATGTGTATATCAAAGGTAATATAGCAATTATTTTATAAATATTATAGCCTAAGTTTTCTTTTGGTTATATGGTTAATTTGATGATATGTTATAGACAATTAGACATGCACTCAAATTTCCCATTAAAATATGATCTCTATCTAAACTAATGGAATAAAACTTGGTGTTATTAGTTGTAGATACTAAATTGGGAAATTTAGGCTAATAGCCATATCCCACAACCAAAAACATTATATAACCATAGTAAATCATGGTTAGGTTATGGTTGATATTGTTAGGTTTATTGGCCAAAAAACCTTTCAGCTGCGCGTGGTTAAGAAAAAGAAACATCCCTACTTTTTTTTTTCTTTTTTTTTTCTTGAAACCAAAATATCATGAAGCCAAGAGATTTGGAGACAGCAATTTAGGAAGAGCGATTGGACGTTAGCACTTCAGAAGCGAAAGAGATAGACTTCCAATCATGGATTTTTGAGAGACACCAGAGGGAGGAGCAGAGTTAGGGTTCTGTCGATTATTCATATTTAACGGCGCATCAATTGCAAATACAGTTGGAGAAATTACATGCGATGGGGAAAAAAAAATAATCTCAGACAATAGGTTGTGAGTAGATTTTTTATGTAGACAAGTTTTATGTATACAAGATCTGTTCATATTTGTCATTGTGTTTCTACAATTTTTTTCAACTTAGTTTATGGGTTCGTGAGTGGGGTGAACAAATGTATTCAGTAACTACTAATGTTATACTATATTAGTCATCTTAATAGAACAGAACCAGGAAATTTAACACTACAATATATGAAACATCATAATAGTATAGTAGTTCTCTAAGGTTTTAAAACCTACATATAGGTTTCGTGGAAGTAGGAACAGATGTATGTGTTTTCTATTCTATATTATACACCTTAATAATATAGTATCTGATTATGTGAATAGATACAATATGCAAAAACTTCATATTTATATATGCATGAATCTGTGATGTTGTTATGCAAGTCTTGAATGTCATCTCTTGAACACCCATAACTGGAACCCCGTTAATTTTGCAAATCCATGTGGAATCGCTACGCGGGGACTAGGAAAAGGTCATCGGAGACAGCTGGTAGTGCTTTAAATTCAGGTATGGATCTTCTTGTATACACGGAATACGACATCTAGTGAAAGATGTTCTTGTATTATTGTTATTTTCAAAACTCATTATCTGATTATTCGTAGAGGAAAAGAGATGAAATCTGTAATGCAAAGTAAATACTATGTTATATAATGTAGTAGTATAGGGCGATTGATGTCACTTGGCTGCATAGATATTTATTATTACATTGAAAACTATACGGCCGAAAAAACATTATGGATCTTTCACTTGTAAATGGCTGTAACGTGAAATAACGTATTTGCATTCCATGTTTAAGATGGAGGAGTTAGGGTTTGCCGGAGCAGTTGTATCATACAGGGTTCAACTGTCTATTGCATACTATATCGTTTATAGTTTAGAATGAGTCAACAATTTCAAAACATATGGGATGCAGAGGTTCTTATGTATCACCAATGAAAGATTGTACAATGTGTTTGTAGCTTTTCTAATCTGTCTTCATTGTTGCACGTTCATGTACATTGTTACATTACGTTGTATATGTATATTTTCCCAGTTACAGTTTTATGTTATGTTCTTGCATGAGGAAAGCTAAAGATTTAGTTACATAGTACCCATTTGTGAGATAACATCATTGATGTCGGACCATCACCCTCCCTCTTCCCTTTTCGATTATATTTGTGTACAAACACCGTACCAGTACCAATCATTCCATATTATAGCTTGTACATTATATAATACTTGAAATCGCGGTTGTATTATCTAATGCATGCTACCTATTTGTAAGGTTCATCTATGGCATATAGTTTAGAATGAGATCAACTATTGAACTGTCCATTATATAGTTGACACAAATTAGGCCTGAAGTGGTGGAGATAGTTGGCAATATAAACGGATTTATGGAATACCCTTTGGGGATGAAGTCGTTTTGTTAACCATTGGAAGTACAAAGTCTCGGTCATCTTTATGGTCACTAATGTTGTTACGGGATGGCCTATATTATCTAAGATGTACTATAGTATAGCCTGTAACCAACCATAAATGACACTTGTGATTGTGTACTACCGTTTTTTACATTATCGTCCCCCTATTGTATTGTCTATTTCATTTACAAACAACCACCATCTTTTTCATTCCCTATCCCCACATATTTTAAAAATTTGTCTTCTGCGTGAATGCAGTAGCTGTTTACTCTCGGTTAATATATTTTTACTACACTTTATCTCTATACAAAGTCATATATGTACTTTCATCTATTCACATGCGCTTTACACTCTTGTTATGCCTTGGCCAACGAACCTTGAATTCTTATGCTGCCTTGTTTTTATACTATAAAAGCTATAGTATACAACATTTTTTTTCACCCCCCATTCCCCTTTTTAGAATCCACTTTCGCTCCCACTACACATATGCTTATGGTGTCTCTATTTTTGTCAGGTATTATACTATCTCATATATATTATAGTATTATGTTTCATATTTACCATGCCACTACAGGAAATGAAAAGTTTGCATACACATTTGATTAGTGTTTGATAAGTGTTACGATATAAATGGTTCACTCGCCTCTTAGGCTGATTCTGTTATTTATGTTAATATTTACTATGCTGTATAAAAATCTTTCTATCGGAGTAAATTTAATATTTTTGTGCATGTCCTACTATACTATGTAAGTTATCATATAGTATAGTCATAACAGCGTCATATACTATGTAGTATGCAAAATGTTATGTTAGCAATGTTCCACTCTCACTATCTCACGCGCACGTGAATGAAAGGAGAAAGAGGTCCACTTTTGACACTAATTATCACATCAACTGTACTATGGTTATATTCTTAATTTCGTTATCTTCTATGAATATTGATCAAATTCACCCTACTATATATTTATCAATTTTAATTTGATCAAATAATTAAAATATACTTTACATATCTTTTGTTATTATTAAAACTCCTTAAAACATTTCTTTAACAAGCATTTTATAAAATATTCACTTCACGCAAGGCGTCATTATTACCTAGTTCTCATATTACAGATAAATCAGTGTTAAAATTACAAACAATTAATTAACTCTAATTAATTCTTTTAAGTACATTAAAATGGATTTTGAGCTATTTGGTCTGCTCCATTCGGTTGAATTAAAGGTTTTTGATTTTAGTTCAGCTCATTTAATTTGATAGATAATAATTTCTTCAACCGTTTGGGTAATTACAAATTTGGGTCAGTTTCAATTGTTTTTCCCTCCAATATCAAATGCCAAGATCCCCTCTTGCTTACAAGAGAGATGAAAGTCTGATTCGCGTGAACCTTGACTTAATACGAGATAACCTAGGGCTTCATATTAACTTAGGGCTTCAAAAAAAAGAGATGGGGAGATACAATATTAATCTAGGGCTTCATTTTTATAAGCTTTTCGAAGAATTTGGTAAGAATTCGATACAATATGTTAAGTTTTGGTTTAACCATGAGGTTATGCGAAGTTAATTAGAACCATGTGCTTTGCATGGATATGGATTCTTTACTTTTTCCACATAATGAGTTTCGTCTGTTCCCTTTCTTTGAAACAAAGAACAACTATATCAGATGCTTTCTTTATTGTTTCTTGTTTCAGCCTGCAAGCCAGCTTCGATGCCACGAAGTAGTTATATAAAGCAAGATTTCTCTTTAGTCTTTTTTTATTCATAAACAGAGGATCACTTCATAAGGTGTTGGACATAATCATTACCCTGAACGTCACTTTTTAGACAGAAGACTTTGTAAGGTACATTTTCTTTACCTTTTGCTTTTCTTTATTTTTTGAACTAACTAATTAGAGATTATATACTTTCTTTCACATGAAATATATGGAGCACCAATTAGAGTTTTGCAAAAATTGTTAACTAGTTTATTTTTTGGATATTTTGAATGTGAAATGAAAATAAAAATATAACTTATATTTTTAGTAGATAGTCTATTATTATATAATAAAACTAATTAATTTATTAATCCGTGGGCATCCACCCAATAACCTGGGGGCTGGTAAGTATCAGTGTCCGAGGCATTCAAAACACTGCCTAGGATCATAAATATCCTTTTATTTACCTGCACTGCACAGAACTAGTTGAAATGGTTAGTACGTACAAAGTCTTTTGTTTTCGCTTAATTGATTTTATCAGTTTGTGTGAGACGTCTTGGTTATTGAAATAATAACATCGCTCGTAAATGGAACGGTTAGGTTTAGATATTGCAAATTTCGAAATAAACTTATAACTCCATTGTCTGTCTTTTTAGTTTTATTTTGAAGAACAAGTACTAACATAGAGGGTTCTTTGCGCATCCTCAAACGCTGAATCATACACATCAAATTCTACATTCTTTCTTGTGAATTTGCAGGTGTTTGCTCCCCACTGTCATTGCCATCCCTGACCATGACATCAAATTGTACTATTGACAAGATTAAACACGTCTTATCTGACTTGCAGTCTCAGTTAGATGAAATAGCCCAATCCAAGAAAGCAAATGTTGTTGAGAACAATGAGCAACCAATCGAAAAACCAGTCGAGGAGAAGAGACAATCAACTTCTTTGTGGGGTCTGATCAAAGAAGCAGTCAAAAAAGGTTTTAAAGTGAAGAAAGAGACCTCAACCTATGCAAGTGAGAGCAACGAAGGAAGCCAAGGAGGAAGCAGAAAAGGCAAGAGCAACATCCGCCAAGATCAAGAAGACGCAAACCTCGAGATCTTGAAACTGCAGAACGACATTCGTCAGATGAAGGCTGCGTTTGAGAAACTGGATCTTTTCCAAAGCAGAATTAGCAAGTCGTTGGATACTGAAGTACCTTCAAATAAACTAAAAGCAATACTATCGAAGACTGATTCAGTCAAGTCCCAAGCAAGGGATCTCAAGGAGATCAGAAGAAAGGTCCTCAACTTGAAAGGTCAGATCCCATCATTGCTCAAGAAACATTCATCCATAGGGTTAAGCGTTTCAGATTCTCAAACCGCTGAGGAAAATGGTCAGATCGTTGAGACGGGTAGCGACATAATTTTGCCTGGCCTCCACGTTTCTTATGACTTCATACATTCATCAGCTTTTGAAGAAGTTGTGGAGAAGTTTGATGCCCTTTCTGAGTTTACAGACAAGCTATGTCTGCTTTCCTTCGCCGTGTTCCCGGAGTGCAAAGAGGTTGAAAGGACAATGCTGATGTATTGGTGGATTGGAGAAGGTTTCATCATCTCTCAAGGTTCTGAAGAAACAGTGACGAAAATTCTTGATGAATTTTCAAGAATGGGATTGCTTGAGCCGGTCGAAGATGAGAGGAAACTAAAACCAAGTGGCTATAAGATGGAACCTCATGTGCACGCCGCAGTTATCAAGCTAGCCGATCGTATGGAACTATTTAAGCTCTATTCCGAAAAGAAGCTTACGATGCAACGTTCAGAGAAGAATAACGTCTGCTTAGTAAAACGTTCGTCGTTGCAACCAGAGGCTAAAGCATCTAAAATGCCACAGATCAAAGATTTGAACTCGGTTTTCAATTCCTCTGAACGGTACCCTGATTTCACATTCAAGTGGTTTCCAGGGATGGAAGCACTTAAGGTGCTTTATCTAGGAAGATGGGAACGTACTGCTAAGCGTCACATTGAAGTCGAGAGCACAGAGTTTCTCAAGGATATGAAGTCATTGAAGAATCTCAGACTCGCGAGTTTTCAAGGGATCTCGAGGATTGAAAACCTCAAAGAACTCAATTGCTCGCTGCCAAAGCTAGTCATATTGGATCTTAGAGCATGCTACAATCTAGAGGGTCTTCCGAAAGACATAGGCTCGCTTGTGAGTCTGATATACTTGGATGTGTCAGAGTGCTATATGCTAGATCGCATGCCTAAAGAGATTTCACGTCTTACGGCACTACAAGTTCTTAAGGGCTTTGTGATTAGTCAGTCCGATGATGAAAAAGACTGTGCAGTTAAGTACCTTAAGAATCTAAGGAAGCTAAGCATTACTGTAAACAGATATGAATTCAAGGTGGAAGATTTCATGGAGTCGTTGAAAGACCTCCAGGAACTTGAGAGCCTGAAAATAGCATGGGGAGCTCGATTCCAGAATGAAGGAGAAAAAGGAGAAAAGACGGAAGAAACTGATGAAACAGAGACTCAGAAACAACAAGGTCATGCAACACAGGAGAAGCATAAAGATACAAAGGAAAGAGAAGATGATCAAGTGCATTTGAAAGGACAGACAAACGAGGAAAAGAAAGATGGAAATAAGAAAGATAATCTAGAAGAGGAAGAAAAGAAGAGCCATGAGGTTAATGCAGAGAGGTTAGAGTCTGATAAAGTCGTTGAGGGAGACAAAGGGAATGCAAATAAAGAGGAAGGGAAAAGTAAAGTGGCAAGAGAAGGAGATAAGGGGAAGGTTACTACAGAAGAAGGAAAGAAGCAAGATAAGGTAGACGCAGAGAAATCAAGATCAGAAGATGGTGTTGAAGGAGTTAAAAAGGCGCGTCCATCCTCGGAATCAACAAACAAGAAAACAGATGACAAACAAGAAGAGAAAGGAGGTGGAGAAAAGGAGAAGGTTAATTCAGAAGAAGGTAAGAAGAAAGATGAGGTGAAAAAAGTCAGCTCAAAACCAGACAAGGTTATCGAGGGAGATAAGAAGACAAGTCCACCACAAGAATCCAAAGACACGAGCAAGCTAGAGGATCACCAAACAGGTGACAAACAAGAAAAGAAAAGAGAGGAAGAAAAGGATAAAACAGAGGGAGAGAAGAAAGATGAGGTAAAAGCAGACAACTCCGAACCAGAAAAGGTAGATAAGAAGACAAGTCCACCACAAGAATCCAAAGACACTGTCAAGAGCAAGCTAGAGGATCACCAAACAGGTGACAAACAACAAGAGAAAAGAGAGGGAGATAAAACAGAGGGAGAGAAGAAAGATGAGGTAAAAGCAGACAACTCGGAACCCGACAAGGTAGATAAGAAGACAAGTCCACCACAAGAATCCAAAGACACTGTTACAAGCAGGCCAGATGACAAACAAGAAGAGAAAAGAGACGAAGAAAAGGATAAAAGAGAAGAAGGTAAGAAAAAAGATGAGGTGAAAGCAATGAGCGCAAAACCAGACAAGGTACTCGAAGGAGATAAGAAGACAAGTCCACAGCAAGAATCCAAAGACACGTTCCAGAGCAAGCCAGATGATGACCAAAGAGGTGAGATACAAGAAGAGAAAAGAGAAGGGGAAAAGGATAACATAGAAGAAGTAAAGAAGAAAGATGATGTAAATGCAGAGAACTCGAAACCAGGCAAGGTAGATAAGAAGACAAGTCCAGCGCAACAATCCAAAGACACGATCCAGAGCAAGCCAGATGATAACAAAGAAAATAGCAAAGTGCAGGATACAGGAGATGGAGAAAAGATCAAGGGTGCTTTAAAGAAGCATGAAGGAGAAGAAGCAAATACTCAGAAGTTAGACAAGAACAAGCTTAATAAGAAAGTAAGCTTTTCAGAAGAACCCAAAGCTCCCGTCCAGAAGAAATCAGCTACCAAGGAATCTGGATCAAGAATAGCAGGATTGTTCACTAGGACGAAAACCGAAGCCAAGAGAGGGCAAGAAGATTCGGGAACAGATACCCCTAAGCTTCCTTCTAGCTTGACGAAGTTGGAGCTAGAATGTTACCCTAATAAGGAACCTCCTGTCTGGTTAAATCCCAAAACACTTGACAATCTTAAAAAGCTTTCAATCAAAGGAGGAAACCTTAGCAGATTCAGTGACAAACCTACAAATGCAAAAAACAAATGTGGTGTTCAGATCTTACGTTTGAAGTACTTACATAAATTCAAGGCTGAGTGGAAAGATTTGCAGGAGTTGTTTCCACAACTGAAACTGTTGGAGAAATATAAATGTCCGGAAGTTGCATTCTGTCCAACGGATGGTAATGGAGTCTGGAGATCACAGCCATAGACATCACCAAATAATGTCATACCATCCCTTGCTTCTCCTCTTTCATTAAGGGCGGGAGCCATTGTAACTTCATTAGAGCTTGTGTATCTGTGTCTCTGACACTGTATAAATAAACATTCCTATTTATGTAATCAAATGCTTAGCGTAATCTGTCTTTAAAACAGGACTGTTATTATAGTGTCTGAGAAAGCAAAACAATCAAAGCAAAGGTCTTGTTCATCCAGACAAAAGAAAACACCATGCATGTGATTCTATTGCAGAAAATATGTTACAAGATAAACAGACAAAGGCCGGTAAGATGATGTCTCAAAGCCGGTCGTTATTCAGATAGTCGCAGAAAAAGTACGTAAATCATTACTTGCAACAACGATCCAGATGCTTAGTGCAAAGCAAGTAGATCATGTTGCTCCATCACTTCTGTGATCTTTCACTCTTGTGGTGATATTTCAGGGCGCTCTACCATAACCCAGCCCTGCAAACACAAGTGTAAAATGCTAAGATGAACCTGAAAAGCGACAAGATTTTATGCAAAGACGACTCAAGCCCCATCAACTTGCAAAACATAGAAAAATATGATGCAACTTATTTTTGAGGATTCGGAAATGTTCCCTCCTGATGATATTTGACATGTTGTAGAACGTTAGGCATGAAAAAGATAGCACTGATGGTCCTTGGTCCTAAACGTTCATTAGAGAGGTGATTCAGAGTAGAAAGTTGTAACTTACCGTGCCTTCTGAAGTTTCCGGTAACTTTGGGCAATTCTTCACTTGCAGTTTCAGGCTACTTAACAGTTCGACTCCTTCAACAACTTTCTCGAGCTTCTCACAATAATTAATGTTTAGCTCCTCTAGGCTGCTAGGCATCTGTGATGCATCTGGGAAAACCGTTTTGATTTTCGGGCAGCAATCTATGCTTAGCTTCTTCAGATTCTTGAAGTTACCACCCCAGCAGATAGTCTCTAACAATGGAAAGTTTGATATCGACAAAGTCTCCAGTGATCCCAAACTTTCCCCATCCACTTCAGAGAATAGGTCTATTATATCCGTGCACATACGTAGTGAACAACTCTTCACCGATTTGGTCTCGTTAAAGAACGATTTGAGCTTTGTTGAGTTAATGTCCACAAAAGACACAAACTCAACACTCACTGGGGGTTCTCCTTGTAGGTCATTCATGACTTCCTGCTGACTTGCGGAATCAAAACGTGATAGTATATCCTTATATATCCCCCTCTGAATGGGGACATGGTGGAGACGTTCCTTGATGACATCTCTTTTCTCGGTACTATCACTGGCCGGAGCTTTGTTCTGCTGAATCTCCTCTCTTATTTCTTCAGACTCCTTTCCTGAGATTTCTTTGGATTTAACAACTGAGTTGGAGGAGCTGGCCACGTCAGATCTTTTACTTTCAATGTCATCCTTAATCTTGCTCCATTCCTCACCTTCAAAATGTGTTCCATCTGCCAGAATAATACGCTTTGGACAACTGATTTCTGTTTTTTTTGGCAACTCTGGTGTCTCCACTTTGGTTCCAGAGAGATTCACTTCACATAAGTGGGACATGTCCTCAAATGACCCCTCAATCGTATGCAACTTAGTACATCCGGAAACGTCAATAACCTCGAGCTTTGTGAGCTTTTTTATGTTTGGGAGAACTTCTAGGTTGGTGCAATCCTTTAGGAGTAGTTTGTTGAGATTGGACAGCTCCTCAATGGTTGTCGCCAACTCGTTAAGATTGGTTCCCGAGAGATTAAGAGTTTTGAGTTCCTTCTTATCTTCAAAGCACACTTCAAGCATCTCCACCAAGCTTGTAGTGCCAGAAAGATCAAGAATTTGCAGACCTGACAAGGGCTTCAAGCTAGGCAACCTTCTCAACTTGCTACAGTCACGCAACAAGAGCCGTTTAACGGAGTGAAGCTTGTCGCCTACGGCAGAGTCCTGGAATAATGGTAGGCGCTCTATTTGGCTCTCAGAGAAGTCAAGGAGTTGGAGGCTTGTAAGATGATAGAAGTTTTTGTTTTTGCTTTTGTTTTTCTTTTCGCCTTTTGTGTTGTCGAAACAAGTCTGAAGCCCACGAGCACCAGAAACATCAACAACCTCAAGCTTTACAAGTTCCTGTATATCTGGCAAATCTTCCAGTAAAGGGCAGTCCTTAATGATGAGGCAGTGAAGTTCTTTCAGATTAGAAATGCTGGAAGGAGAAGTTGTGATCTGAAGCCCGGACAGGTGCAAACTTTGAAGTTTAGACAATTCCTTAAAGAAATCATCAGAGATTTTCTTCAGGGAGCTAGCACCAGAAACTTCAAGGGCATGCAGCTCGTTAAGAGCCTTAAGCTCTTCAATATCTGTCAGTAAATCACAGTCCCTGATTACAAGAACCCGGAGTTTGTGAAGACTTGAAAAAGCCGACACAAAAGGTTCCAGTGTGGGTTCGAACAGGCCAAGTACTTCAAGATCACTCAGCTTCTTGAAATACTTTCCAGGAGTTTCACGACGCAGACGGTCTCCACTAACCAGAACGGTGGAAACCTTGTCTCTTTTCTTTGCCTGCACTGTTTTAATCATATCATCTATCTGTGTGATTTTCCCTATACCTTTTTTCTTGTCACCACAATAGACTCTAGAGAATCTAAGCCGTGATCTCCCAAGAAGCCCACGTCGTCGAGGATCAATCAAAGTGCTCATCGACCTTTCTGGTACCACTACATTGTTTTCTTGTATCTTCAGCATTCCACGGTTTATAAGCTCCATCAAGATTAAATGACCATCCTGGTAAGCCTTTTCGACAGACCTAACAGGATCAAAGTAGCCTTCAAGTATCCATTGTGTGATCAGGTCACGGTAGTAAACACAGCCACAGTGCTCAAAGAAGTCCAAGCTCTGCCAAAAACAGTCTAAAATGGCTTCTTTCAACGGGAACCCAATTTCCAGTAGCTCATATGCAAGACACAGAAGTGGATTGATAGGGCTCTCAGATGAAAGAACTTTCTCTATCAGTTTTTCTATCTCTTCTTTTCCTGGTTTGTTAGTGCTCAGAGTAATCTGCTTGAGGGAATTGGCTAGCACGGCAACTGCAGCAGGCGAGTTCTTGCTTTTATCCACCATGTTAGATACCGTTTCCATATCAGGTATCCACTCTGCAGTGACGGTAGACACAAATAAATCCGCCACGCTAGACTTAGTGATTGAGTCAAGCAAAGCCTTTGACATATCGGTTTCATCACAAGGCTTTGTAGTTGCCTGCAAGTCAGTTTTAGGGACACTTTCCTCATCAACCTTCTGAACCTTTGCTTTGTCCATGGCTGGGGTCTCAGTTCCCTCTTCGGTTATCTTGTCCTCTGAAACAGCCCCCACATGTGAGGCCCTATCATTGTCACTGTTCACCTCATCTTCCCCGGACTGTGACCCATTTTCCTTAATTCCCACATTTGAGGCACTATCATCGTCATTTTTCACCTCATCTTCCCCGGATTGTGACCCAGTTCCCTTTGTGTCTGTTGCATCATCAGTTGTTTTGTCATCTTCTTCCCCGGATTGTGACCCATTTTCTTTTGTGTCTGTTGTTGCCACATCAGTATTCGTAACAGGCTCCTCTTCTTCTTTTCGTCTTGTAATAAGAATTTTTAGACGTGTGTCATCTTTTTTAAGAATCTCATCTATGAGAAACCTCTCAAGCTTCAAATCCTTCATCACCACGTCTTCATTGGTCATGCTTCCTTCATCATCAAGAATCAACAGAAGATATCTCTCCTTCTTTGCTTTTTCCTCAGCCAGCTCCTTTGCTTTCTTCTCAGCCGACTCGTCTTTTTTCTTTGTGTTTTCCGGGCCCGCCTTCTTGGTAGCTCTTGGCGCAGCCACCTTAGCTTCTTTTTCTGCAGCCGCCACCTCCCTCTTTGCTATCTCAGTGATTATCTTCTTCTTCAGTTCATCCAACAAGTCTTTCGGCTTCTTCTCTTCCTCCTCATCCTCATCTCTATCATCAACTTCAGTCTCTTCAAAGTCAGAGTGAACAGATAACTGAGAAGCTATGTTCTCATAAAGTGACAACTTGTCCTCCTCCTCGAACTTGTTGTTGAGATGCAAGCAGAGGGTCAAAAAGCAATAGCCATTGTTAGTGGCGTTCTCGTCGTATCTGTAGATGCTTGCGTACTCGCCTACCTTCTTGGCTAGCCTCGTCTTCCCGATTCCAGCTCTACCAGCCAGTAAAACTCTTTGAGACCCATCTTTTCTCAGAACGTTGAGTATCTCTTTACACAACTTCTCATCCTTAGTATCTTGTTTAACTTGTGCATTACCCGGATCTGGGAAAAAGATACTGCGTTAGAGGTGCTTGTTACTCAAAGAAGACACAAACCCACCATGTCTGAAACTTTTTGTATATAATAATACTTCATCTGTCTCGACGACATGTAAAGGCAGCAAAGAAGACACAAATACTCAACCATGTCTGAATCTTTTTTAAAACTTGAAACACTTCCAGATTTGCAAGAATCCAACAGAAAAAAAAATAAAAATAAAAAAAACAAATACTTCTTTTTGTTAGAAAGATTTGAGAATCATAAGAAGAACTTCGACTATAAGACAAACTTTTTGCTTTGTTGAAATTCCAAAATCAAATTCAAAATAGATCAAATCACGGCACGGACACACACAACGCCACTAAAATACATCAATCAATTAAAATATTGAAGTAACCTGGGAGATGAATCTCCGCCATGATGAAGATTGAGAATTCTTTGGTGGTGAGTTAGTGTTCACTCTTGACCCTTTTGCCTTCTCGACAAAGCCAAGTCAACATCTCCTCTTCTCTCACACACACTCTCTCTCATCAGTTACCAAATACTCCCTAGATAAGTGTCGTTTTATTTTATTTTTTGGTACAAAAAGAGTGTCGAGTTTATAAATATAATTTTGAACAAAATACTAATTACAAACAAATGCATTGATTTAGGGAAAATTTGGAAGAATACATTCATACAAGATTATATTTTAAAAATTACACTAGGTTTAAACTTTTTTGAAAACTACACTTAACTTTTAATGAAATGACATATTTATCCAGTTTAAATTTTATAATGATTCTAGTATCTAAATTACTTTTTAATAAAACAGAAATAACTTTTCAATCAAACGTTTGAAAAGAAATAAAATTGAAAACAAATTCAATAACAACTGGATTTTCGTTCAGTTTTGCTAAATCATTATCTTAATATCTATTTAATATCTTATAAATAGCTACAATATCTTGGGATCTCGTACATATTAAAGACTTTAAGAAGAAGAAAGAAATCAACAATACAAGTTACAACATTTGAAAAGTAGTAAAAACTCAACTATTTCAACTAGTTGCGTCCCAGTTCCCAAGCAACATAAAACATGTTTTTTCATCACGAGCTAGTGAATTCAGCATGTTCATGTTCTTATAATCTTTAAGAAACAAGCAAAAAAAACAATCATTCAATAACACAGCCGTCTTAGCAGATAACTAAATGATCATTTTTTCTAATTAAAATATTTTTTTCGTCTTGATGTATCGGACATGCATGAAACAAATTCAAATGGAAATATGAGAAGCAGATGTGCATTAATGCATATATTTTTTTTTTCTTACAGTTTATTCTTTACTATAATTTTCTGCTACGCTTAGCACACAATGATGATATTTTGTGAACTTCGTGAATTTGGAGTGATTCAATCTATTCATTCTTCTACGCTGTGAAGATACCAATCATAGTCAACATTAATATGTTTCAATTTCAAAACATTTATTTAGCTATTAAATTTTATTATCACTAGTGAAAATTAGGGTAAATGTGTCTTACAACATGTAAGAAAGTGTAATTTTCAAAAGATAAAAAGAGAAGTGTATTTTTCAAAATCTAAATCATAAGTAGAGTATTTTACAAATTATCCCTTGATTTTATAAGTAATTTTAATTTTAAAAATCTTATTAGTTGATTATCATCATAAATATATTAAGTATTAAAAATATAATAATAATTCTATTGTGAATATAAAACAAACATAGGTTCTTAATTATATAAAATATATATACATATAAATTATTAATTTATAATTTTAACAAGATCATGACTATATATTTATATAGAATTTTCTATAAAATTATTATTTTATCGATTTATGTCAAATTTGAATGGTCCAAATTAGTATCAGTATAATTTATTAATTTATAAAGATTATTAATTTATCAAGTATCAATTTATAAACAAATTAATGTATTAAAACTCAAGTATCAACGCGAATTGTTTGGAAACATCGATAACACTAAAAAAGGACGTGTATGGTATTATTTGGAAATATGAATAATAATGATTTTGATTCATTAATGTCTTTTTAGTAGTTTCATTAACATTGATAATAGTATTTTTTTTCTTTCATTGATAAATTGGTTAACTTATTATACGATTAAATGTACTTAGTACAATATATTATTATAAATTATGAGATAAATATATATTAGTTGATTAGAAAAACATAATTAACCTATTTTATATAATATAGTTGTGGATTATAACATATTAAATGAAGTAATTACTTATAAGAAAAAAATATATTTTATAATATAAAGTATGATTTTCTCTCATATGAGAGTGTCATGTCAGTAATTCATATATTCTCAACATGACATGTATCATGATTCTTGGTTAATCTTTTGATTTTTCATTTGTTTGTCGGCTCATCTTTAATTAAGGATTTTTAATGGCATTATTCAGTGAATCCCAATTTTTCTACTTATTTACTGCGATATGTGTCTCTAAAAATTATTATATATAATGTTTTGGTTTTTCAAAAGTATCTGAGGTATCTTTTTAAGAAACCTCGGTAAAAATAATAAACGTCTTTGCCATCAATTAATGATGAACAAAGTGAATCGTAACTGAAGATTAGATAAAAAATCGTATTGTGGTCTCGATCGCCGCCAACTCAGTTGTACGCATGAAGAAATCAAAACAATTCTTAGGATTCCTGATAGGAGGAGAGTCACCGCGAGTGGTCGACATAACCCATCGATCGAATATAAAGAAATGTATAAAGGGTTTTACAATGGTCTAGTCAGATATTTTGTTAACTTTATTGAATATAGTTATTTAATACTAACATTTAAATTAAAACTCAATTCAAAGAAATACTAAAAATCAACAATTATTAATTCTGGATTACTTAGAGTAATAAATCTTATAGTTATGTTACAGGAAAATAATAATTCTTAAAGGTACAAATACAAAGTAACAAATGCAGGTTTTATAGCTTGATCTATTTCATTAATAATCATTCATTTCTTTTGTAAATTAGAATTTCTTTTTAAATTCTGTATTATTAACAAAGTAAATTAAATAATGTATTTTCATTAAAACTATATACTACTCCCACCGTTTCTTATTGTAAATAGTATTAAAAAAAAATTGTTTCAAAACATATGTAATTTTCTCACATCTAGGTAACTTTTACATGTACTAGATAAAATGTGACAAATCAAATAATGTCTATTTTTATAATTAGTAAATTTTATTAATTAAATACTATGTTTTAAAAATAACAACTTTCTTAATATTAATGCTTTTATTTAAAACAATTGTGAAATGAAAGAAGTAATACTATATGTAAACGTCTAGAAAAATTTCAGGGACAAAAAAAAAACTTATTTTATCGTATTTTGTTAACTTTTAGTAAAACCTTAAAAACCCTTAAAATAAGAAAAAAATAATAAAACATGCCAGTTGGATTTCAATTCAAATTAGCATTATTTTCTTACCTTTTTCAATAAAACATGAACACTATCATCATACAACTTTAAGTAAATAACTTTTTTTTTATTTAATTCGATTAGCTTGAAACTTATAAATTTGTGTGGTTCTAAACAGATTGCCCTTTAAGAATAAATGATCTCTTGGAGAATTTATATATATTAAATTATTCACACAATACGATTGTATTCTTTAAATAGATTATTGCTTTTTAATAGTCCTACCTCCGACAATTTTGCTAAAGTTTTAGCGCAAAATAGACACAAAAAATTGAAAATATCAAATGTTAAATAGAATTTGAAATTATTTTCAACTATTTATAACGTGCTTACCCGCCCGTATGACGGGTTTTAACTAGTATGTATATATTCTTTATAAATGAATTACATTCATAAATTTTATTTATATTATGTATATTTCATAACACCAATGTTTAAATATTATTGCACATTATTATTAATGTGAATAAAATAAATTTTATAAAAACTTCAATGATATACTACTAAAAATTTGTGGAATTAAATTTTACACTTATTGTCAAATGTCTTAATATATAGATTAATGATACCAAAACTTATTCATAAATTGATTTTATTAATATATTTTTCAATAACCATTATAAAACCAATTTAATCAATATATTATAAGAAAAATAGGATAAAAATTTTAATTTCAAACATCAAGTTAAATTATGATTTTTATATTACACAATAAGTTTTTAGATAGAATAATATATGATTAATTATAGGGAAATTGCCTAATTGTTTTTTAAAAAATTACTTTAATTATATTTACCCTTGGTTGTAAAATAGAATAATATATGATTAATTATTTTTACTTTAATTATGGGCTGCCACTGGTAATAATATTGACAAGACATTATCTTAGTCAAGATGCTTGGACTTATATCTCTATAATATTATTTGAGAAGTCAGTTTCCTACGTGTCGCGCTCACGTTAACTCTCGCGATGGTTGATTACATAGATACCCTTAACGAATTGTTAGATTTTAAGATTATTATTAATTTTTATTTAGTTTCCTTTTTACTTTTTTCCAAAAAAATATATATAATATAAAGGAAATATTTCTAAAATTGTAAAACAAGTTTTAAAACGAAAAATATGTATATAATATGACTTTATTAAAAAGGAAAGTTCACAAAATAGTAATACCCCCATTAATATATATTTTTAAATAACATAAAATATATATTCAAAATAATAAAAATATATATGTTCATGAATATTCAAAAATTACCAGTTACAATTTAATTTTTTTTGTAGAATTTATATATATGCATGAGACTTCAAAATATTATCATTATATTCATTTATGTAATTTTGAATCAAACACTTCAGTTTATTATTTATTTCATCGTAAGCACAATATATATTAAGTTATACATAATTTGACTATAATATATTTACATATCTAAGACAATAACCAACCGAAATGAAAATAAGAAAATTAATCAAAGTTTTATTATATTTAGAATAAAAATATTATAGCTGAATTCTAAAAATAGATATTATCCAATATACCAAATTGATAACCATAATGACTATTGATCCAAAAAATAATTAAACCGACAATAATAGATCCATAGTGATATGTATAATTAGAATAATATAATATTTATTAATATAAATTATACATATAAATTTATTCAAAGCTAAAACTAAATATCAATCAGTTATTATAATATTTTACTTTTATGAATATTCATACCCGTGCATGAGCACGGGAAAATCATCTAGTCAAGATGCTTGGACTTATATAACACGTTTAAGATGGAAAACGTTTTTGCTCACAAAGATGTATACATAATCACATAACTACTTCTACTACTATACTATGATTATTTAAAAGGGGAATTGGGATGTATAACCAAACAAAAACATATAATTCACAAACTAGCCAATTTTCCTAACAGTCATATACACGGCGTTACTTTTCCATATTAATACTGTTTTGCCCCTTTTGTCAACCGGTGAAACCTGCAACCAAAAAACAATTAAAAATCTTTATTATTATACATGAAAAGTAGATCGTGTCTTATTTCCCTTTCAC